AAGGGCAGCCCTGGGGCCAGGGCTCTGCCTCTCAGCAGGGCCATGCTGGTGGTGGCACACCTCTGCCGTGGTTGTTTTTCAGTCACCGAGGGCGGCACACCCTGTTTCCTGCACAGGCAGCTGCGGTGCTTCCTGCATCCACAGCTATAATTAGAAGGGCAGTTGGTGTCCAGTGGTGCAGAGCCCTTCCTTGGGGTCACGGCAACCTCGGGGGTGCTTGCTGGGTGGTGTTGTGCTGGGCAGCTGTCCTCTCACCATGCTGCCAGCCAAGGGGAACAGAGGTGGTGTTGGGGCAGCATCCTCTGCTCAACACCCCATCTGGGGGCCTGCCACTATGGGGTCATCCCTGTCTATGTGGAAGAACAGCAGCAGGCAACAGGGGTGAGTCTGCCCAGGCAGAGCTGGCACACTGGGAGCTGGAGAAATCCCATCACCTTCCCATCCGGCGCTTTGTGCCTTCAAAGATGCAGGCAGCTCTCTCTAATTAACTTTTCCCCACCCTGCCAGGAAAGAAGGTGATTTTATCTTCATAGAGCTGATAGAAGAGCCAGAGTCTAAAAAACTTGCCTGAGGCCCCCAGCAGGGTTACTGTCTTCTCAGGGCTCAGCCTTGGCCAGGCAGCCCTGCTTCAGAGCTTCCCTGGCATGGTGCTCTTTCTAAAGGGGACCATGACCTTCACCAAAAGATGGGGAACAAGCTCCCTCTTTTCTTACAGTGCCAGTCCATTTCTGAGCACAACTGGAAAGAAAGGGGTTCAAGCAGCTGCAGTTGTGCACAGAGCAAAATTGTCTTGGTGTTCTTGCAGGGGTGCTTTGGGGGAGGTTTCTTAATGAGTCTGCTTGTCAGGCTGAGGCTGGCGGTACCGCTGAATCAAGCATTGTGAACCGACATGAATAATGAATAGCCATCACATGAATATTTTAGAGAGACAGTCCTGAGATCTCCCAGTGCTACCTTAAAGGAAAATGGAGGAAAAGTTGTCCAGAAAGAACGATGTTTCCTTTAGGCAAAAACACACTGTTATCGTTGGCTTTTGAAAAAGAGCTGCTGCTAAGTAATTCTCAGGATTTGCATCAAAAACTGGAGCAGTGGTTTGGCTCCAAGGCAGAAATTGGGAGGGAAGCCCAAGTCAATGATTACAGTGTGCTGGAAGGACAGCAGATTTTACTTTGTCTATGCAATGATTTTGTGAGAAGTCCCAAAGCTATGGCCACCCTCCAAAGAGCCAGCAGTGCTGAGCATGGTTAGTGCAGTTCAAAGGAGTTGTGAGAGGTTTGGTGATGCACAGGAGTGTTTGGTCTCCCAGAACAACATTTCACTCCAGCCTGAGCACTTCTGTCAAAGAGCTGAGTTGTATAAACAAGATCCAGCAGCAAAAATTGTGTTCATTTTTTATGGCTGCTGCATCATATGGGAATGGGTTGCAAATCAACAGGTTTATCAGACCATAGCAGCATGCCCCTCTCCTCTACGCTCTCCTTGACTGGCTGTGCTTTTGGCATGCACACTCTGGTGCCAGGCTGCTCTGTGCAGCTCTTGTGACAGCATCTGTACTTCAGTGGCCCTTTTCACTGTGTGTGAATAATCCATGCACAAATGACTTCTAGGAGCAGCAGGTTGTCGTGTTCAGGTAAGACCAGCAGCAGCTTGTCTTGCTTAGGTAGGCACAGCAGAGCAATGGGAGAGGGATTAGAAACATGGCAATTGCAAATAGGCAATTACTACTCTAGCCAAGTCTCCGATGTCTCTGTCACTTGGATCACCCAATCTGTATCTCCTTCAGCACTTCTCCGCTCAAAGCAGTCCTTGCTGTGCTGCTCGCATCAGCAGATACAAATAATTCCTCAGTGTTTATGAAGTGCCCAGAAATGTATCTGTTACAAGAATGCAGGCAATTTGGGCATTTCTTCAGCAGCTCCCACAAAGGTGATAGAAAATACCTGCAGTGACTGTCCCTGAAGCACTTCAGTCTGGAAATGGGGAATGGTGTGGGAAAAAAGGGCAACGTGTGGGAAAAACATGCCAGTCAAAATGCACAGGTCTTTGTTCTTCAGGTTACCCTCAAACCTCACTGCCCTCAGGATGCACAGAGGGTTGCAGGTGGTGAGGCAAGCGTGAGCCTCCTTTTCCCACTGCAACAGCACTTCTGCCTGTCCCCAGGTGTCTGTTTCCAGTTCAGCCATCGCGGCTACCTGTGTCCCATGGAGGTCCATCCAGCACTCTGTACTGGTGGAGTCACCAGCCGAGGGCCACGGTGATGCCGAGGCCATGCTATGGGGCTGTGCTGATGGGATCATAGGAGCATTTTGCCCGTGGTTGGGCAGCCTGGGAACACACTGCACGTGCCTCGGCTGTGGGGTTAGAAGTGCTGCCAGACCCAAGGCGTGGGGAACGGCCAGGCTGGCTGGCTGCTCTGGCTCGTGATTATGCATTGTAGAGGCAAGGTAACTTTTAACTGAAGTACAAAAGAAAGACAATAATGAGCACTTTTATTACTGCCTTGGTGCCCACATAAAGACTTGTGATGGTTTTATTAAAGATGACGTGCTTAGAAATGAGTTTACTAAATCTCTGCATGCTGTCTGCAGCCCACCAGCCTTCCATTGAAGCACCTCACCTAAATGAAAAGGAGACCGCTGAGTCCCCTTTCATCTCTTTTATTTGCCTTATGAAGCAAAGGAGGGGCCAGACCAGGCGGGTGATGGTGGCAGAGCCTGGGATAAGCATGGCAAAGGTTCAGACGTACTTGGGAAATTTATGCCACACAGTTGCTGGCTTTGAAAAGTAGAATAAAGGAAAAACTGTGTCTTCCTAATGGGTGTTTATCATGGGGAGGCATCACATAGTGCAGAGCAAGAGAAAAGACCACTCCTTCCTGCGGCATTGTACATGGTGCCATGCTGCTGGTGGCCAGCTCCTGAAGTTAAACTTTGCATGCCTCTGTTTTCCAGGGATTAGCCAGGTTTTTCTCCAGTTACAACTGATACACATTACAGAGTTATACTCAAAACTGTCTGGCCTTAACCCAACAACCATAAAGGAGAAATGGTTCATAAATCAGTTCAGTGAGCAAGTACAGGTTGAGTTGTTTATTAATTTAACCTTCTCTCCCATCTTGAGCCAGACTGACCACAATGGCTGCTGCTGAAACCCGTTCAGTGGTTCCCTGGCTGGGCAGGCAGCGTTCTCTGTCTGATAAAGATGCCCAGACTCTGGCTAGATTTTGGCAGCAACCTCGTAGCACAGCTGTTGCATCCAGGTTCCCTCTTTGTCACTGTCATTCCTGACATACACTTGTTTACTCTATTGGGATGATGGAGATGGGGATCCTGCACTGGGCTGGGTGTGTTACAGGGCGCAGGTGGTTTTCCCCAGAGGGATACACAAACCCCTGCCCCCATGGCTGGCTGCTGGGCAGGGTTTCGCACGCTTTGCTGCTGGAGTGGTTTGTTTCCCGGAGATAACATCTGCGCCGGGCGGAACCTGCGAGTGAAACCGGCCCCGCCGCCGCCGGCACTGCCGAGGGCTGGGCTGGGGCTGGAAGCCCTGCGCATCCCCGGAATCTGCCAGGGGCCTCCTGCTGCAGCACCGACCTTGGGGTGGGGGTCAGCCGTGCCCCTGGGTTTATTAGTGGTGGGGCTGGTGGCTGCTGTGGGAGAGGGTTAGAGCTTGACCTGGGAAGGGGAGCGCCGGAGAAATGGATGTCTGTGCTGAGTGCCATAGGGAGGGAGGAAGGAAAGGAAGTATGGAAAGATGGTAGATAACACAGAATCACAGGATCAGTTAGGTTGGAAAAGACCTCCAATACCATCGAGTCCAACCTATGACCTAATACCACCATGACAACTAGTGCCCCATCCAGTCTTTCCCTAAACACCTCCAGGGACGGTGACTCCACCACCTCCCTGGGCAGTCCATTCCAATGTCCAATCACTTTTTTCGTGAAGAAAATTCTTCCTAATGTCCAACCTAAACCTCCGTTGGCGGGGCTTAAGACTGTGTCCTCTCATCGCGGACTGGATGGATGGATGGATGGGCAGTGGGGGTGGACGGACAGACAGACAGACAAGGTAGCGTGGGGACGGACAGGCAGGGCAGCAG